GGTCCCAAATGTATATTTTTTTTTAATGTTATACCTTCTCGTCGGCGGCAAATGTCTTTTTTAACGATGTGAAACCTTCTCAGGGGTCCCAACTGTCTTTTTTTAAGAATGTGAAACCTTCTTGGGGGGGGCAAGAGTATTTTTTTAAGAATACTAAACCTCGGGAGTACCAACTTAAAAATATGAAACCTGGGAGGTCCCAAATGTCTTTTTTTTTGAGAATGTGAAACCTTCTCAGGGGTCCCAACTGTCATTTTAAGAATGTGAAACCATCTCGGGAGTCCCAATTGTTTTTTTTTTTAAATGTAAAACCTCCTCGGGGGCGCCAAATGTCTTTCTTTAACAATGTAACCTTCGTGGCGGGGGGGTGGAGGGGGCAAGTGCTTTTTTTTAAGATTATTAAACTTTCTCGAGAGTCCCAACTGTTTTTTCTTAAAAATATGAAACTTCGGAGGTCCCAAATGTATAATTTTTTTTTAATGTTAAACTTTCTCGGGGGCGCCAAATGTCTTTTTTTTATCAATGTGAAACCTTCTCAGGGGTCCCAACTGTCTTTTTTTAAGAATGTGGAACCTTCTTGGGGGGCCCAACTGTCTTTTTTTAACAATGTGAAACCTGGGGGGGGGGGCAAGTGTATTTTTTAAGAAACTGTTTTTTCTTAAAAATATGAAACCTCGGAGGTCTCCAAATGTCTTTTTAACGATGTGAAACCTTCTCAGGGGTCCCAACTGTCTTTTTTTAAGAATGTGAAATCTTCTTGGGGGGCCCAAGAGTATTTTTTTAAGAATATTAAACATCGGGACTACCAACTGTCTTTTCTTAAAAATATGATACCTCGGAGGTCCCAAATGTATTCTTTTTTAATGTTAAACCTTCTCGGGGACGCCAAATGCCTTTTTTTAACAATGTGAAACCTTCTCATGGATCCCAACTGTCTTTTTAAGAATGTGAAACCTTCTCGGGGACCCAATTGTCTTTTTTAAAAATGTAAAACCTCCTCGAGGGCGCCAAAAGGTTTTTTTAAGATTATTAAACCTTCTCGGGAGTCCCAACTGTCTTTTCTTGAAAATATGAAACTTCGGAGGTCCCAAATGTATTTTTTTTTAATGTTAAACCTTCTGGGGGGCGCCAAATGTCTTTTTTTAACAATGTGAAATCTTCTCGGGGGCCCCAAGTGTATTTTTTTAAGAATATTAAACCTCGGGAGTACCAACTGTATTTTCTTAAAAATATGAAACCTCGGAGGTCCCAAGTGTCTTTTTTAAGAATGTGAAACATTCTCAGGGGTCCCAACTGTCGTTTTAAGAATGTGAAACCTTCTCTGTCCGTTTTTAAAGAGGGTGAAACCTTTTCGGGGGGGCCAAGTGTATTGTTTTAAGAATATTAAACATTTTCGGGAGTCCCGACTGTCTTTTCTTAAAAATAATAAATCTGGAAGATCCCAAATGTATATTTTTTTAAATGTTAAACCTTCTCGGGGGCGCCAAATGTTTTTTTTTTTTAATATGAAACCTTCTCAGGGGTCCATCTGCCTTTTTAAGAATGTGAAACCTTCTCGGGGGTACCAACTATCTTTTTTTAAATGTAAAACCTGCTCGGGGGCGTCAAATGTTTTTTTTTTAACAATGTGAAACCTGGTCAGGGTCCCCAACTGTCTTTTTAAGAATGTGAAACCTTCTCGGGGGTCCCAATTGTCTTTTTTAAAAATGTAAAACCTTCTCGGGGGCGCCAAATGTCTTTCTTTAACAATGTGAAACCTTCTGGGGGGGGGGCAAGTGTTTTTTTTTTTTTAGATTATTAAACCTTCTCGGGAGTCCCAACTGTTTTTTTCTTAAATCTATGAAACTTCGGAGGTCCCAATTGTATTTTTTTTTAATGTTAAACCTCTTCGGGGACGCCAAATGTTTTTCCTTAAACCTTCTGGGGGGGGGGGGGGGTGGCAAGTGTATTTTTTAAAAAACTGTATTTTCCTAAAAATATGAAACCTCGGAGGTCCCAAATGTCTTTTTTTAACGATGTGAAACCTCAGGGGTCCCAACTGTCTTTTTTTAAGAATGTGAAATCTTCTTGGGGGACCCAAGAGTATTTTTTTAAGAATATTAAACATCGGGAGTACCAACTGTCTTTTCTTAAAAATATGATACCTCGGAGCTCCCAAATGTCTTTTTTTAACAATGTGAAACCTTCTCAGGTGTCCCAACTGTCTGTTTTTAAGAATGTGAAACCTTCTCGTAGGGCCCAAGTGTATTTTTTTAGGAATATTAAACCTTCTCAGGAGTCTCAACTGTCTTTTCTTAAAAATATGAAACCTCGGAAGTCCCAAATGTATATATTTTTTAATGTTATACCTTCTCGGGGGCGCCAAATGTCTTTTTTTTACAATGTGAAACCTTCTCAGGGGTCCCAACTGTCTTTTTAAGAATGTGAAACCTTCTCGGGGGTACCAACTGTCCGTTTTTAAAGAAGGCGAAACCTTCTCGAGAGGCCCGAGTGCATTATTTTAAGAATATTAAACCATCTCGGGAATCCCAACTGTCTTGTCTTAAAAGTATGAAACCTCGGAGGTCCCAACTGTCTTTTTTTAAGAATGTGAAACCTTCTTGGGGGGGCTAAGAGTATTTTTTTAAGAATATTAAACCTCGGGAGTACCAACTGTCTTTTCTTAAAAATATCAAACCTCGGAGGTCCCAAATGTCTTTTTTTAACAATGTGAAACCTTCTCAGGGGTCCCAGCTGCCTTTTTTTAAGAATGTGAAACCTCGCGGGACCCAAGTGTATTTTGTTAAGAATATTATACCTCGGGAGTACGAACTGTCATTTCTTAAAAATATGAAACCTCGGAGGTCCCAAATGTATTTTTTTGGGGGCGCCAAATGTTTTTTAAGAACGTGAAACCTTCTCGGGGGTACCAACTGTCTTTCTTTAAAATGAAAAACCTTCTCGGGGGCATCAAATGTCTTTTTTTTCAGAATGTGAAACCTTCCCAGGGGTCCCAACTGTCTTTTTAAGAATGTGAAACATTCTCGGGAGTTCCAACTGTCTTTTCTTAAAAATATGAAACTTTGGAGGTCCCAAAGGTATTTTTTTTAAATGTTAAACTTTCTCGGGGGCGTCAAATGTTTTTTTTTAGAAGAATGTGAAACCTCAGGGGTCCCAACTGTCTTTTTTTAAGAATGTGAAATCTTCTCGGGAGTCCCAACTGTCTTTTCTTAAAAATATGAAACCTCGGAGGTCCCAAATGTATTTTTTTTTAATATTAAACCTTCTCGGGGGCGCCAAATTTTTTTTTTTAAGAACGTGAAACCTCGGGGGTACCAACTGTCTTTTTTTTAAATGAAAAACCTCGGGGGCATCAAGTGTCTTTTTTTCAGAATGTGAAACCTTCCCAGGGGTCCCAACTGTCTTTTCTTAAATATATGAAACCTCGGAGGTCCCAGATGTATTTTTTTCAAATGTTAAACCTTCTCGGGGGTTCTAACTGTCTTTTTAAGAATGTGAAACCTTGTCGGGGGTACCAACTGTCTTTTTGTAAGAATGTGAAACCTTCTCCGGGGGTATCAACTGTCCGTTTTTAAAGAGGGCAAAACCTCGGGGGGGGGCAAGTGTCCTTTTTTAAGAATATTAAACCTTCTCGGGGGTTTCAATTGTCTTTTTTAAAAATGTAAAACGTTCTCGGGAGTACCAACTATCTTTTTTAAATGTAAAACCTCGGGGGCGTCAAAAGTCTTTTTTTTTTAAGAATGTGAAACCTTCTCGGGGGCACCAACTGTCCTTTTTTATTAGTAAATTTTATCTCCGACATTTCTCTATGATCTTTTTTTTACATGATTTCAGTTTTTTTTTTTTTTTTTTTGTGAAATGAAAACTACGTATAATAAGAAATATAGGCAAAATGTAAACCCCACCCACCCACCCTCATTTCAATTGTGACGAGTTTTTTATTCGCCGTGAACCAAGGGGGCGGAGCTTAACTGCAAAATACTTATTTCTTTGCAAGAAATTAAAAAAAAGTTATTGAGTATCGTGTTCTTCAAAGAATACTATGTATATTTAGATAAAAAGAAAAATATTAACCCCGCCCACCCACCCCATCTCAATTGTGATGAACTTTTTTATTCTTAGAAACTTAAAACGCGTTTAAAATGGCAAATTTTTGTAAGGAAATGGGGATTTTGAAATTAGGCTCCGCCCCTAGGTCTGCCAACGAATGAAAACTTCAGATATGGGTGAGGCTTAATCTTTGGGTTTAATTTTTTCTTAATATACCTAGTATTCTTTGGACAACACGATACTCAAAAACATGTTTTTAATTTCTCGTAGTAGAGAAATAAGGATTTTGCAGTTAAGCTCCACCCCCTTGGCTCACGACGAATAAAAAAATCATCGCAATTGAGATAGGGCGGGTGGGCGGGGCTACAGTTTTTCCTTTTTGTCTTAATATGTGTAGACTTATTTCGACAACAAGAAACTTCAAACATGTCTAATTTTTTTTAAGCTTTGTTGTCTGAATTTCTGTTTGATCAATGAGCGGGGATGAAACACTCCGTATACCAAAAAATACACATTGTCAGAGTTCTTTACAGTAAAACAGTAATTAATTTCACTTTTTTGTCACTGTGCGTAATCTTTTTTGGTTTATAAATACTTGGTTGATAGACTGATTAAATTCACAAGTCTTAAGTTCCAGAAAAATAATTAAAAAATTCTTACAAGAACAAAATATCGTTTAGATTGATAAATCAAAAAAAGTGACATTGTAGCCACGATCATCAGATTTCCTCCTAAACAATTTATTTTTTAGTTTTTTGTAATGTTATAAAGTGAAGAAAAAAAAATGGATAAAAGGTTGAACGACGTGCACTTTTTTTGACAGCTGCAGGCTCTAGTTTATATATTTGTTTAGTCAGTATAATTAGTTTTTCTGAGAAGGGTAGGTACACTTCCAACTTACTAATTCACTTTTGTGCGAATACTTTAGTTAACAATTTTATAACTTTCAGAGTATGCCGCTAGATAGTAAAAGTATAACCGGTTTAGTTGACGGCACGGATTTCACACAATTAACCGGTATTCAAGGATTATATCAACAATGTCCGCCCACTTCATCTTCACCAACGGTAAGTAGCGACTATTTTACTTAAAAATATTCCAACACAGTATTTTTTCAGTTACCACAAGCGTCAGGTTATAGGAGTCCGTGTCCGAGACCCAGTCCACAGTCATCACCTAGTTTAGGAGGACGTCATTCGGCACCATGTAGTCCGGGTGCTCCAAGTCCCGGTGCTCCTAGTCCACTTCCCAATGATTATAACATTTTCAGTCAACACCAATTTCAACAACATTTCGAACAATTATCAATGGTAAGCCATTGCATGAGTATTCATCTCGTAAATACATATTATTATTATAATAACAAACAGGACCTTACAGATCATTTATTATTAAAAATATTTTCAATTGCAAAGAGTTATTTAAAGCAAAACTTTGTTGAAGGCATTATTGATTTAACAGAGTATCGTTCGCAAATATTCATATATTTTCTAATAAATCCTTATATCGTTATGTGCTAACAGGGAGTGGTAAGTCATGTTTGTTATGCGATGTCACAATCATAACATTTTACATCATGATGTTTCATACATTTCATACATTTGGTGTAAGCAGTTATTGAATAGAACCATACTTAGGTAACATTAGTTTATAGTGTCGAGAAAAGCAAATTTAATGTCTGTTGTGCTGTTTAATAGAAACAGATATAAACACTAGTTGAAAAAAAAATGATTTTATGATAGATAAAGCATGGGTTCAGTATGTAGTTGTTACTTATAACCCTTGTCATTTTCATATATGTATTTAAATTGAACGTGGTGAATTTTATACTCATTTTAATTGTTACGTATTGATTTCTAGTACTGTTGAATAATAAATAAAATAGCCATAGCAGCATTAATAGTTGGATCTAACGAAATAGCTCTAATACTTAGTACTAAAAGGCCGTTTTAAAACTGGAAAAATTGCTAAAAACGACATTTCCCAATTTTGTTGAATACAACTGTAACAATTTTTTTAATTTTTATTAATAATTCTGTCAAATTTCACTTGCAAATTCCTGCAAGAAAATTTATTAACATAATTCAAAATATCTTCGGTGTCTTTTTATCAGGGAAATGGAAAAACGTAGATACTACAGCCTTTTCTTTTACTATAGCAAGTCGATTAAACTGCTGCAAATATAAAAATGCATAGCAGTGTAGACGCTTGGCATGGAATATTGCTTGTACAGAATTGATTAAAAATATAATAATATGCATGTTGTTAGGATTGGGCGCAGTTGGTGGCAAGCCTATTGGAGTCAGGCTGCACCTGGAGCGCACAGTTGCAGGTGACTAACATTTACCGAAATTTTATTCGATTATTTGGTTCTTATTTCACATTTTCTGCTCGATGTGGCTTCTTATGAATTTAAGTGCATTCCAAAAATATCGAAAGGCTCGACGGAAGTATTTTGGAATGTAGAATGTTATTTCAGTTGAACGGTTTTACATCCTCATCCAAAGAAAGAAGGACGGTTTTGGTTCGAATTTCTTGGACAAGGATTTTTTTTATGATGCTAGTTTTTAACTGCTTAGGTTTTGTTATGTACTTGTTTTATTATTAGAAAATTTATACAAGTTTCATTAAACAGCTCAACTTTTTTCGCATGTTGCTTACATATTTTTTGATGTTATAGATTTAACCAGAACTACAAGAATATCCTAATATTTCTGATTTTTTACGAAATTTATAAGCATGACATGGCATGCCAATTTAATACTGTCGAGAATTATGCACTTTAATGAGTTAAATTATTCAGTCATATCAGATCAGTGTTTCAAATATAGTATGCTCAGCGTCACGGTAAGTGAAACCGACTGGAGAATTCTTTTTGATTGGTGATAATTTTCGTGTTTTTTTTTTTTTGCAAGAAAAGGGATCATAAATGTCATAAATACACTATTATGATTATGAATGATCACCCATTTCATGCCAAATTATAAAAAGATTACCACCAGTTATAAATAATTCTGCTCTGCGCCTGACCATCATGTTTTATAAGAATGTTTCAGATGCCTTGTCTCTGTTCCAGTATATAATAAACAACAAACAAGTTTATTAAAAATTAAAAACAAAACAAGTTAAAATTCTCCAGTTTTCGATTTTAATTATTCCAGTTTTAGCTTGATTAGTTCTCCGATTTTACAATTTTTTTAGTTTTGAACTTAACTAATTTTTTAATTTTTCAATTTTGTGTTTTTTTATTTTTCAGCAAAAGAACAAATTTATTCAAACTAAAATATTGGAAAATCGGAAAATTGTATCATTGAAACAATGAAGAATACGAAAATTTTTAAATGAAAAATCCAAAAATTTCAAAATGAAAATCGAGAAACCAAAAAATCGAGACACCGACAAATTGGAAAAGCATAGAAAAATTAAAAATAAAACCGCCAAATCGGTAATTGAAAAATTGGAAAAACGAAAAAATAAAAAATTCCGAAATTGAAACATTAAACAATCGAAAAACGAAACAATTTTGCAATTTTTCAATTTTAAAGTTTCAAGTTCTTGATTTTTCCAATTTTAATTAAAATATAATTTTGCAACGTCGAATAACTGTAACACCGAAACATTAAAAAATCCAACAATTAAAAATCGAGAAATTGAAAAATCGACAAAACGCAACAATTCTGCAATTTTCGATATAATATTTTTCAAATTCGCGATTTTTCATTTTTTAATTGTTCAACAAAATCACAAATTTATCAAACTGAACTTTTGAAAAACCAAAAAATTGTAACACTGAAACATCAAAAAAAAAAAAAATAAAAATCGAGAAATTGAAAAAATCAACAAAAAGAAACAATTTTGCAGTTTTTAGATATAAAATTTTTCAAATTCTCAATTTTTAATTCTTTGTTTTCTCGATTTTTCATTTTTTAATTGTACAACAAAAGGACAAATTTATTCAAACCGAAATTTTGAAAAATTGAAAAATCAAAAAATTTAAAAATTGAGAAGTGGAAGAATTGAAATAATAAAAAAATTTAAAAAACCGAAAAAATGAAAATAAAAAATTTAAAAATGAAACGTGAAATCTCGAGAAATTTTAAAATTGAAAAATCGAAGAATTGTAATATAGAAATCTTAAAAATGATTAATTAAAAATCGAGAAATTGAAAAATTGAAAAAACGAAAAACAAAAATTTCTATAAATTAAATAATCAAAAATACAAAAAATTCTAATATTGAAACCTCAAAACCCTGATTAATTAAAAATCGAGAAGTTGAAAAATCGACAAAACGAAGCAATTCTGCAATTTTTCGATATAAAATTTTTCAAATTCTCGATTTTTATTTCTTCATTTTCTCGATTTGTCATTTTTTAATTGTTCATCAAAAGGACAAATTTCTTCAAACCGAAATTTTGAATTTAATTGAAAAATCAAAAAATTGAGAAATCGAAGAATTGACAAAATAAAGAAAACTTGAAAAAACCGAAAAAATGAGACTTAAAAACTGAAAAATTAAATTTGAAATATCGAAAAATTTAAAATTGAAAAATCGAAAAATGAAAAAATTGAGAAATTGCACAATTGGATAATTGAAAAATCGAAAAATTGTAATATTGAAATCTGAAAACCCTGTTTAATTGAAAATCGAGAAAGTGAAAAATTGAAAAAACGAAAAACAAAATCTTTTATAAATTAAACATCAAAAATACAAAAAAAAATTAATTTCAAAATTGAAAAATTTTTAAATGAAGACCGTAAAACTAAAAAATTAAGAAATTGTAAAAAAGAAACATGGAAAAATAAAAAATTTGTAACATCGGAAAAACGAAACACTGAAAAACCGAAAAATTTAAAAGTTGAGGAATCGAAGAATTGAAAAAATACAGAAACTGAAAAATCGGAAAATGGAAAAGCCAAAACTTGAATCATAAAAAAATAATTATTATATTTGAAAAAAGTGAAAATTTAAAAATTGGCAAATTTAAAAATGAAACAATTACAAAATTTTAAATTTGAAAAAAAAAATTAAAAATTGAAGAAATGAAAAATTGAAAAACCAAACTTGAACTATCGAAAAATTGAAAAAATTGGCAAACCACAAAACAATTAAAAAATGGAACAATTGAGAAAAAGATAGAAACTGTAAAATCGAAAATTTGTAACATTGAAACCTGAAAAAGTGATAAATTAAACATCTAGGAATTGAAAAATCGAAAAGTAACAAAGCAAATTAGAAAATCGAAAAATACAAAAATTTTACGTAAAAATGCAATAATTTCATAATGAAAATCGAAAAATTAAAAAATGGAGAAATCGAAAAATTAAAAAATGGAGAAATCGAAACACGGAAAAATCGAAAAATTATCAATTAAACGAAAAATATAAAAATCTCGAATTGAGAAATCAAAAAATCGAAGAAACAAAATAATTTGGAATTACCTAATTGGAAGTACTTTATTTTTATTTTCTCAATTTCTCGTTTTTAATTTTTCAACAAAAGGTCAACTTTATTAAAACTGAAATTTAAAAAAATCAAAAAATCGGGTAATTGAAAAGCCAAGAATTGTACACTTGAAAAAAATCCTAATAATAATTATTTGAAAAAAGTGAAAAATTAAAAAAAATTACAAAGTTCCAGATTTGAAAATAAAAAATAAAAACGTAAAATTGAAAATTTGTAGCACTTAAAAAAAATTGAGAAATTGAAAAATTGAAAAAACGAAAAATTGTAAAAAGATGGAAAATCGAAAAATTAAAAAGCAACTTGGAAAATCGCAAAATTAAAATATCTGCAAATTAAAAAATCGAAACATACAAACATTTTACTGAAAAATAAAAATCATAATGAAAATCGAAAAACTAAAAATCGTAAAAACAAAACATGGAAAAATCGAAAAATTAACAATTAAAAAAAAACAAAAATTTAAAAATTTTGAATTGAGAAAATAAAAAATCGAAGAAACGAAACAACTTGGAATTACATACTTGGAAGTACTTTATTTTTAATTTTTCGTTTTTTAATTTTTCAACAAAAGGACAGACTCATTAAAAGTGAAATTTTAAAAAATCAAAAATCGGAAGTTCTAAATCTAAAAAATTGAAAAATCAAAAATATTAAAAACTGAAAAATCGAAAAAGAAACACTGAAAAACCGAAGAATTTAAAATTTGAGAAATGGAAGAACTACAAAAATAAATAATCTCAAAATCGAATAGTTAAGAGGTCAATAATTGGGAAAAAAATTGTAACCTTAAAAGTGAAAAAATTGAAAATCAAAAGCACGAAAAACGAAACATGAAACACAGAGAAATTTAAAAATTGCAAACTTAAAACTTGAGAAACTGAAAACTTCGATAATTAAAAATACAACTGAAAAATTGAAACTGTAAAATCGAAAAACGGATTAATTAAAAATCTAGAAATAGAAAAATACGGAAAACAAAATTTTCTAGAAATAGAAAAATCGACAAATTGTAAAATTCAAAAGTTGAAGAATATCAAAATAAACATCGAAAACTGTAAAATTAAGAAATCGAAAACTGAAAAATTGAAAAAAATGAAACATTGAACAAAAAAAAAATGAAATACCGAAATGTTGAAAAAATAGCGAAAGTAAAAAAAAAGGATAACGAAAAAATCAACAATTGAAAAATCAAAAAATAAAAGTACATATCTTAAAATGTAAAAATCGAAAAAACGAGAAACTGTCAAATCTAAAAATTATAACATTAAAACCTGAAAAAAACTGACGAAATAAAAATCGAGAAACTGAGAAATCCTAAAATCGAAAAGCTAAGAATGTTAAAAGCTTCAAAAATCGAAGCGAATTAAAAAAAATGCTCACACCACACAGATGAAAGCAATAATATTCGACTTTGGGTCAGTTTCAATTTAGCGCCGATGTACTTTGTTGTGATTGGTCGCCACGGGTGCGGAAATTAATGTATGCTTTATAAACTTGAAATTTAGAAACTCCGTTGCCAAGTTGCCGTTGATAAGTAATTTTGATGTTCAACTTTTGCCGTATTTAAAGGGGTTGTAGAAGAAAAATGGAGGATCACTACAAAAATTTACCCTTTTAGACATGTTTTAAGTTTCTTGTTGTCGAAATAAGTGTACACATATTAAGGAAAAAGGCAAAATATAAGCCCCGCCCACCCACCCTAGCTCAATTGTGATGAGTTTTTATTTAATCCTTATTATTTCTCTACAAGAAACTACCACGTAAGACATGTTTTTAAGTATCGTGATATTTAAAGAATCCTAAATTATATATATTAAGAAAAAAATAAGGCCAAAGATTAAGCCCCACCCATACCTGCCCTGATCT